ACTGTAACTTTAGCCGGGCTGAAACTGAAGTATCGTTCGTTATACCGAGGACTTCGTCATATAGAGGTTCATTAAATTGAGATTCCACTGTATTTTAATCTTTTGATACAGCTGAACCATTAGTAATGAATTAATGTTTCGTTTTTGAAGAAGCTATGGGAGTGCATTCTGACCTGCTCAATATGCATATTCTCCATACTGTTCTGTACTTCCATACTGTATTTCCTAAGGTCCCGACAAGGAGAAATTAGTTAAAAATGAAGAGCGTTTAAGTTGCTGATCATCTCCTTTATTCTTGTGACCTTAATGTTTACTTCAGGTCTGATATTGTAAGGAAATATTAGGTTCGATTTTACGAAGTGCCAGAGAACTGGGGAAATTGGTTTGCTAGTTATATCGGCGATCTGTGTCGTACATTTTACTGTAACTTTGGTCGGGCTGAAACTGAGGTTCGTTAAATTGAGGTTCCACTGTATATGATTTGTGAAAAATCCGTTGACAAGGTCATTCAACCATAGCCCATCGAACCAGCCTTCATAAAATCCAAGTTGTGGTAATTATTTCTATTTCCGCTCGAAAAAGTCATGTCTACCGCCGATGAAAACTGGCAAACGACGAAACCATCGATCAGAGAAAGAAGTGAGTTCATGTTTAACGACGATCTTTTCAGCGATGTGAAGTTTGTCGTACCAAAGTCCAATGGTGAAAGTGAAAGTAAACAGATGATTCCCGCTCACAAGTTCGTGCTGTCTATCAGCAGTCCTGTGTTTGCGACCATGTTTTACGGTGAGGTGGCGGAGACTAGAAATTCTATTGAACTGCCTGACTGCGAGTACGAGAGTCTGTTGGAGTTGTTTCGTTACATGTACAGAGATGAAGTGGTCTTGAGCGGAAGTAGCGTGATGGGAGTGCTGTATTTGGCGAAGAAATACATGGTGCCCTCACTTGCTGATAAATGTACGGAATATCTGCAAGAGAACCTTGATCTATCAAACGTTCTCAGTATTATGCCATTTGCTCAGAGCAGGGGCGGATCCAGAAATTTTTGATAGGGGAAGTCCAAACTTTGGTTCAGAAAAGACTGTTGGACTCTTTTGGGGCAAATTGCTTCTCTCCCACACCCCCCACACCCTCTCCCACTAGTCGCGGTTGCACGTTATAATTCCTTGGCCGCTTACCGTTTACTTGGATTCATTAATTTAAAAAATCAGCCAGTTAAAAAGTGATATACGATCCTGCGGATGTAAGAATTTCAGTTTCAAAGTTGTAAGCGTCAGGTCTGATAGGGGGGGGGNATTGAGGTTCCACTGTATATGATTTGTGAAAACCCCGTTGACAGGGTCATTCAACCATAGCCCATCGAACCAGCCTTCTTAGAATCCAAGTTGTAGTAATTATTTCTATTTTCGCTCGAAAAAGTCATGTCTACCGCCGATGAAAACTGGCAAACGACGAAACCATCGATCAGAGAAAGAAGTGAGTTCATGTTTAACAACGATCTTTTCAGCGATGTGAAGCTTGTCGTACCAAAGTCCAATGGCGAAAGTGAAAGTAAACAGATGATTCCCGCTCACAAGTTCGTGCTGTCTATCAGCAGTCCTGTGTTTGCGGCCATGTTTTACGGTGAGTTGGCGGAGACTAGAAATTCTATTGAACTGCCTGACTGCGAGTACGAGAGTCTGTTGGAGTTGTTTCGTTACATGTACAGAGATGAAGTGGTCTGGAGCGGAAGTAGCCTGATGGGAGTGCTGTATTTGGCGAAGAAATACATGGTGCCCTCACTTGCTGATAAATGTACTGAATATCTGCAAGAGAACCTTGATCCATCAAACGTTCTCAGTATTCTGCCATTTGCTCAGAGCAGGGGCGGATCCAGGAATTTTTAATAGGGGGGGTCCAAACTTTGGTTCAGAAAGGACTGTTGGACTCTTTTGAGGCAAATTACTTCTCCCCCACACCCCCTCCCACCAGTCGCGGTTGTACGTTATAATTCCTTGGCCGCTTACCGTTTACTTGGATTCATTAATTTAAAAAATCAGCCAGTTAAAAAGTGATATACGATCCTGCGGATGTAAGAATTTCAGTTTCAAATTTGTAAGCGTCAGGTCTGATAGGGGGGGTCCGGACACCCCGGACCCTCCCCCTGGATCCGCCACTGCAGAGATATGATGATAAGACCTTGACGGATCGATGCTGGAAAGTTATCGACGAAGAGACCGAAGACGTTTTTAATTCGGATGGATTCTTGACAGTTGATCGATCCTTACTTGAAGAGGTAATCGAAAAGGATACTTTAACCATTTGTGAGGGAGAATTGTTCAAAAGTGTTATCCAGTGGGCGACGGAGGAATCTAAAGGGAATGGCCTACCTGAAGATGGTCAGGACGTCAGAAAAATCCTCGGCGAGTGTATTGTAAAGGCAATACGTTTTTCCTGTGATGTCCTATGAAGAATTTGTTACTGTGGTCCTCGATAGCAAGATACTGACATTCGATGAAGTCACTATTATTCTAATATTATCGAACAGTTGAGCTCTGTGTTAACTTCCCAAATAGATTTTCCGACCTCACCTAGAACAGGGAGGAGCCCTCAACGTTGTTGTAAATTTGATTCGGTGGTGTTTTATAAAGATTGGACCAATGGAACAAGCACGCTCATTTTCTCCGTGAACAAGAACATTCTGTTTTATGGGGTATATCTGTTTGGTAGCGAAGGTAACGACTAGATAGTGACTCTTAATATTATGCAGGCGGAAAATGGAGAAATCGTTACATCGCAAACAGCTACATTTTCATCTGCACTACACCGACCTATGAGTTACTGGGGATTTGATGTTCTTCTTGATCGTCCTGTTTCTTTGGATAAAGGTAAGAGATTTTCCATTGAAGCTAGCATATCGGGTCCACGCTCGTTCAGTGGAAGGTATGGCAAAGCCTCTGTTTAGTGCTCTGGTATTGAATTCAAGTTTGCAAACAGAGTATTTATCAAATAAGACTGGTATTACACAAGGAAAAATACGTGAAATTCTCTTTCGTCCACAATAACGTTCATCATAGCCTGACACAGGTCTTTCGCAGCGAGTTTACCTAACTAAAAGAAAGGAAGAGACTATTTTAGATGAGGAGCTTAACTTTATTGAGCTGAGAAGCAGGCCTTTCCAACCGTGGCTAGCGTGTATGGGATGAAAGCGAGCGAAAAAGGCGACAAACTGGAGTGGGGTGGGGGAGCAGTGGGAAAGGGAAAGAAAATATCCTTCTTACCCCTCCTCTCTGCTCGTCGTTTTCTTAGCTCACTTTGCCCCATGCTCTCGCTCGGCTCACGATTTTCCCGCTGGGACTGAACAAAAGGAGACGGAGACGTTCTTCGTGCAAGCTGTAACTCTATCAGTAACAAGATATTTTTCAATTGTTATTTCTATGCTCGGTCAATCGCTCCCGAAGGTATACATTAAGGGATTTTTCCTGAGAGCAGCCAGTAGCAAATAGCGTTACTTCTTTTACCTGGGTCAATTGATCACAATGAAGCAGTTCTCGAGTGAGGTTAACATCATGATAAGGCAATGAGCGATCTCAAAAGTAAAAACATGTAAACTACCACAGGCGCGAGAGAACGCAAGTTAGCAAGTCGCGATTGATTTTAGTTTTAATCTGCTCGGTTAGGAGTAATGCTGAGAGTTTCTAGACTAATCACAGAGCGAAGTAAAACAATACCGAAGCAGTAATCAATTGAAAATTGCTCTAAACCTTTTGCACTGTAAGAAACGAATAGTAATTGCGACCAAATCCAATTTAGGGTGAGAAAAGACTAAAAATAACATTATAATTTGAATATATCAACAAAGTTGAAATGGTAAATTGGCCACCGTTACGATTATAAAAGCTGACGTTTCGAGCGTTAGCCCTTCGTCGGAGCGAATAGAGGAATTGTGGGTTGTGTGTGCTTTTAAAGGCAGAAAATGGAGCTACGTTATTGGTGGGAACATGGCAACGAGAAAAACACGAATAAATTAGTGGAATGAAAAGCGTTCGTTGATACCTGTGGGATTTAGACTGCCGGTTTGAAAGATGAGCTTTTGTTCAAGAGTTTTACGGCTTTCCGTGCTACCTAAGTGTAAGGAAAGACCGCAGATTGCCATATGTTGCTTAGAATGATTAGGTAAATTAAAATGTCTAGCGACTGGTTTCGATGTGTCCTTGTCATTCCT